GCCGTTAGGAACGCGTACCATGGCCAGATCAAGGACGGGTGAGGCAGGCACAGCAGACGCCAGTGGCCACCGCAAAACGCTCTCTGTCGTTCTGTGTGGCCATTGCAGTCTCTTCCACGGCCGCGGCACCCTCATCTACCAGGGTAGGTCTCTCACACTGGCTGGGAGAGGACCGACCCACTGATGCATCCACCCACGTGCCGTTGTATGTGTGTGTGCGTGTGGTGGGTCGGTCTGTGTGTGCAGGCAACGAGAAGTATGAGGGCGAGTTCGTGTTCGGCAAGCGCGAGGGCCAGGGCACGTTTAGCTACGCGGACGGTGCGGTGTTCGAGGGCCAGTGGGTCGATGACCGCATCCACGGCCACGGCACGGCGCTGTTTGCGAGCGGCAACCGCTACGAGGGGCAGTGGGAGAACGGCCGCATCAACGGCGAGGGCAAGCTGACCTACCAGAATGGCGACGAGTACGAGGGCGACTGGGTGGACGGCAAGATGCACGGCCGGGGGACGTACCGCTACGCCGAGGGTGACGTGTACCACGGCGAGTGGCGCGACGACAAGCGCCACGGCAAGGGCACGGTGACGTACGTGAGCGCCAAGGGCAACGTGGTGGAGAAGTACGAGGGCGACTGGGTCAACGGCAAGATGCACGGCCACGGCAAGTACGTGTACGCCGACGGGGGGGTGTACCAGGGCGACTGGATGGACGGCAAGATGCACGGCAAAGGCACCTACATGTTCCCCAACGGCAACGTCTACGAGGGCGAGTGGGTCAACGACATGAAGGAGGGGTAGGTGACCACGCGCACACACAAAAGGCAACGAACACACACCGTCCCCATTTCTCTCTCTCTGTGTGTGTGTCTTTGTGTGGTGCCCACCCACTTCCATGCCATCAGCTACGGCACGCTGACCTACCAGAATGGCGAGAAGTACGAGGGCTACTGGAAGTGCGATAAGGTCACACCAACACACACACCAACACACACACCAACACACACACACACACAGCCACCCATTCACTACCCACAAACCACTGTCTGGCCTGATTGTGTCTGGTTGTGTTTGTTGTATGTGCAGGTCCACGGCAAGGGGACGCTGACCTACACGCGCGGAGACAAATACGTCGGCGACTGGGTGGACGCCAAGGTGAGGCAAGCAACACCAACCGAACCGACACCACCATCCGTTGACGGACGGACAATCTGTGGTTTCCCTTTCCTCTGTGGTGTGCGTGTGTCAGAAACATGGCGATGGCGAGCTGCTCTACGCAAACGGAGATAGATTCAAGGGTGGGTTGGTTGATGGGTGGCGGGGTCTCCTCCCTTGTGTGTGAAACCACGTGCATATGGATGCCCTTGTGTGTGTGACGGTGTATGACGATCCCCAGGTCAGTGGATGGACGACCGCGCGTGTGGGACCGGCGTGTTCACGTACCAGAACGGCAACCGCTACGAGGGCCAGTGGCAGGACGACAAACGGCACGGACAGGGATACTTCTCATGCGCGGTACGGATGGATGCTCGTCTGACAGCTCTACTTACTGATGTCGCATCGATCGACCACCGATGTGTGTGTCTGGGTGTGCAGGATGACAGCACCGTCTATGAGGGCGAGTGGGCTAACGGCCGCAAGGAGGGACCCGTGAGTGAATGCACCCACCCACTCCCTACCCTACCGCTTTGTGATGTGGTGTGATGTGATGTGATGTGCTGCCCACCACCCACTCCACAGCGGCATCCTGAAGCTGGCCACGGGCCACACCCTCCAGGGCACCTGGCGCCAGGGAGAAGTCGTCAAAGTCGATGTAAGCCTACCCACACACAGACACAGATAGACACAGAGGCTGTTTGCGCATCACCCATGTGTGTGTGTGTGTGTGTGTCTGCTTACGATGAAGATGATGTAAGCAGCTCTCGTCCATCGGATACAGTGACCACTGACCATCCGCCTCACTGTCTGTCTCGCTGGCATGTTGCCTGCACTGAGTGCAGGTACTACGACGAGCGCGTGTCTGCCACGTACGATTCAAGGCACTTCCGCCCCGAGCGTGGCAACCCATCAAACCCGTCGGCTCACTACAACGAAGTTCCGCTCGAGTGCGCCTGTGGCGGCATCGACACTCAACACCACCAGATGACACTCAAGGTCGAGGCCGCTGGTATGGCAGACGTGACACAGAGAGATCCAGCGCACACCACACTCACCTGTGTCATTGGACGCGTGTGTGTGCACACTTAGATGTGGCTGAGGCGCTTCTGACGACGGCCGCCAAGAGGCTGCTCGACAGCGACATCCGCTATGTGAGCACACAGACACACCGTCCAGCCGTCCATCTGTGTGTGTGTGTGTGTGTGTGCAGGTGACGCGTGTGAGTTTGGCTGCGATGATCGGGCAGGACGAGGAAATCGCACATTGCATAATCGAGCTGTGAGTCACTGCCACACACACACACACAGATTGCCGTGTCATTCTCTGTCTTCAGGTTGCAGGAGAGCGGCTTGCTGAGTAGCGCTTCAACCAGCGAGGGCTCCATGGTGCGGCGACACACACACAACAACTCACAGCAACAACAAGGTACAAAAGACACACACACCACAAGGACCACCACTGTGTGTCTCTCTCGTCTGATGCCGTCTCATTTCACTCGTCCGTCAGTGTCGCGCAAGCGTGGTCGCACGGCGGTGGACGACGACAAGCAGATACGGGAGGGCGAGGGGCGGCAAGAGCTGCTCGCAATCATACAAGACAAAGACAAAGGCACGCCATTGACACAGACCGACACACTGCACTGGTTGCTTACTCACACCTCTCTTTCTCTTTCTCTCTGTGTGCCTGTGTGTGTGGATGTCAGTGTGGCGCAAGCGTGGTCGCACGTCAGTGGACGAGAGAAATGAGGCGCACGAGAAGAGCTTCATGGAGACATCAGCGGCCCTCCACGATCAGCTCACCCAGATGGACCGACAGATTGCCACCCTCAACAAACAACACGACGCACAAATCAATGCACTCCAGCAGCAACACAACAAGAAGGTCACACACAGACAGACAGAGAGAGACACCGGGCAGATGCAGCCATTGACCTCTCTCTCTCTCTCTCTCCGTGTAGGTGAGTGAGTTGTCTGACGAGCTGATGCGTGTGCGTGAGGCCGAGTCCACACTCGCGGCGCAGCTCACCCACACCAAACAGCAACTCAACCACACACACGCCAAGTAAAGACGTGTGTGTCGCGTTTGTATGAGAGACCACAATGTGTGTGCAGGTATGAGTCGGTGTGTGTGGAGGTGTCTCGCTGCCGCGACGACATCAAGCAGAGAGACGCCGACATGCGAACACGCGAGTAGCAACACGCACAGCAACTGCAGGCACGTCGCTCAGACACACAGACATACAGACACACAGGCAGGCGGCCATGCATGGATGGATGGATGGATCAGGATCGTGATCGTGTGCATGCCGAGCAGCGTGACCAGCACGAAAAGTCACTGCTCGACATGTCGGCCACAATGACCTCGGCAGATGGACGGTTCACACACACACACAGGGAGAGGCAGATCGACAGGCAGCAATGGGTGTGCTGTGTGTTGTGTATGTGCAGCAATACTGATGTCATCAAGAAGCGATGCAATGCCCTCAAGGCACACCACACCCAACACACACACACATAGACCAACCAGCGCGTGAATGGATCTGTGTGTTTGTGTCGTGTGTCCATCAGGTTGCTTGGAGAAAGCACTGCGCGCTCAGCTCCCGGCTGCGCTATGCTCGCTGACGTCAGAACGGTAAACCAGTCAGGCAACCCACAAGTTGAGACAGCGAATGCATGGATGATGCGTGGATGTCGTGTGTCTGGAGTTTGAAGGATTTGGAGGGCCTGTGCCGAAAGGAGACGCACACAGCCGGCTTCGGGGGACGGTGATGCCGAAAGTGTGATGTGTACGGGCAGACAAAACACAACGCGGACTCTGCGTGACAGCCAGACAGATCGACACAGACAGGCAGGCAGATGGGCGGAGACACACATACATGGACGGACAGTGGTGCTATCGCAACGTGTCTGCGTGGATGTGTTGATGCGTGGATGGATGGATGGATGAGACATCCATTCTTGGCTGGATGGATGAATGAAGTCTGCTTGCACGCACCATTCAGTTATTTACACGACACGCGCACACAGACGAACGAAACGAGTCAGTTCGATTCGCCAACCCCAACCCACAACCAGGTCCGTCCATCGATCAACAAAAGGCACACAGGCAGGCAGGCCGAGGCAGCAGGCATACACCCACATCCATGCCTCCTCCAGACTATACCCATCGTACGTCTCTCTGTGTATCTGTCGGTGTGTCTATCTACCTGTTGTCTAAGTGTACTTGCGGAACTCGCCCGAGTTCGACTGGTAGATGGTGGGCGGCAGCTGCCACGGATTGCCCATGTAGATGCCCACTATCCTGTGCAGGGGGGGAGGGGGATTCGTCAGCAAGCACACCAACACACACATACGGCTCATCCGCGGCTCATCGTGCCTTGCAGGCATCTGTGCGTCTCGTTTTCTTACGTGTAGAGGTCGGTCTTGTATGTCACCGACTTCGAGGGCGAGATGTAGTTGGACGGCTGCTCCTTTCCCACCAGCGGCGCCAGCCCCTTGGCGCGCAGCGCGTTGAGCACACGATGGACGTCGCCCTTATCCCTGAAATCCCTCGTGTACACACAGATGACGTGCAGGTTGTCCTTGGGCTCGAGGGATCTCTTGGCAGCACTGCCCAGCATGCCCTGGCGCATGGCTTCACACACGCGGTCGAAGGCCTCTGCAATCTGATCCGGTGCTGAAGGCAATACACACACACATATGAACACATGAACACAGGAAAGTTGAGAGCCCGAGTGACGCAGCTGCCTCGTCTCTTGTCGTATTCCAGTCGTCTGGCCCACCGAATTTGATGAGCCACTTGCCCGTAAGGCACCCCATCTCGACCGCCAGCTGTGTGAGCTGCTCCTTGATGACCGCCTTGTCGCCCTCCTTGTCCAGAATCTGCCGACCCCTCGTCATGACCTCCTCCGTGTCATACCGATTGACATCCGTCGCCTTCACAAGACGCACCCACTCCCACTCCTCGTCACGATCAATGTGGACGGCACGACGGGAAGGGCCGGCATGCTGCTGCTGGTTGCTATCTTGCTTCTCGGTCTCGCGAGAGGTGTCGGCCCTCTGCCACTTGGCGAACAGGTCCCTCGCCAGCTTCTCGTCCCTCTCTATCTGCGACTCCCTCTCATCGCGGCGGTCAGTCTCAATGTTGATCTCGCCCGACAGCTGCATCGCCAGGGCGTGGTCGGCTTCCTCCTGGCGCTTGCGGCGACGCTCCTCGTCGGTCATGAAGGCATCCAGGTCCGTGGCGGTGGGCTGGGAGGGACCTGCCGGCGCTGCGGCCGCTGCAGCAGAGGCCGATGCGCTCACGCCGGATGAGGTGGCGCCTGTTGTGGTCTTGGCGGCCTTGGCCTCCTTCTCGCCATCGATATCCCCAGCAGCATCCGCCTTGCGCTTCAGGTACTCCTTATTGTGGCGCTTGCGGTACTTAGCCAGCTGAGACTCCTGAGAATCCATTAGATGAAGCTGCCAATCTATATGGAAGTTTGTTCGTTTCATTTCCCTCTCGGAAAACCCTGCACCTTTCCGAAACCCTGGAGTTGCAACTGAGGAATTGAAGCCGAAATGGATGAGTCAGGCGAGGATGCGCCCCTTAACGTCCTCGACCCATTCTATCTCCGGCACATCAGCGGCGCATCCGTCCACGATAGCGATGCAGTTCGGTCGAAAAAAGAATAATAGTACAACGCGGCGAAAAGGCGTCACGATCACTGAGAGCGCCGAATCCTCCGGTGTCATTTCGCTCCCTCTCTCCTCCCTCTATCACCCTTCGGGAAACGCTGTCTGGCTCATTTTCTGCAGTGGAAAATTTGACTGAGGCGTTGTCTGGCGTTGGTAGAGTGTCGACAGACAGGGCAACACGGCTTGCCCGGCTGACCCCCCCGTGCGGCTTTTTGAACTACATACGGCGGCTTTCTCTTCTCTTTTCTCCTCTCTTGGTGCTGCCTGCCTGACAATTGAAGGATGGCGCGTGGACTGCCGGCAGAAAGGAGGGCGACTGCCAGGCGAGCAACACGGGCCCGATGACACGCCGCGCCCCGCTCCAAAGTGAGTAGCACTGCAGCTGGCTGCCCACCCACCCACCGACCGATGTCTGCCTGCCCACCCGACGCAGCCATCCTGCACGCGAAGCGCCACTACACGCGGGAGACCCGAGCACTGGGCCGACCACCACACCGAGCAGCCCAATCCCCGTCCTTCTGGACGTCGCTTGTGGCGTGGTTTGCCGTCTGGCTGATCGTCACGCTGGCATTGACCGAGCTGACGGAGCGTCTGGTGCTGGGGGTGGGGGTTGAGACGGCAGCCACGCACAGAGGGGGCGACCACAGGCAGGGCAATGTGTGTGGGATGCGGGGGAGCGGCAAGGGACAGCAAGGAGAGGGTGGGCACGAGGAACCACTAGAGCTGTGCTGGAACCAAGTGTGGGGACCAGGTGGGTGGGCCCCACAAACTTGACGTACACGCAACAATGGCTATCAAGATTGCTTTTGCTTTCGTCTGTTGTCATGCCAGCGTGTTTTGAAGTCAACTCCACTTGGAGTGTCCCCGATGCCCCTCTCGCTCTGATGGACTGTCCCTCGCTACTCACCTGCTTCCACCACTGTGAGACCCTGCCGTCCTGCCACTCGTTCACCTTCTTCCTTGCCGAGCCCCCCATCCCTTCTCACATGATCCCTCTGGTGGCCAACGGCACCCGTCCCGTCGGTCTCTGCTGGCTGCGCAACGACACCGAGCCGTTGGGGGCCTTCCCATGGCCCATGGCCATCTCGGGGCCATGGCCGTGTCAAGGGGGAGGCGTGCTGACTCACGAGCCGGCGGCGGCAGAGGCGGCCAGGTGGGGGAAGGGGTGGGCACGGGGGGGCGACACCAGCACGCCATCGTTGCGTCCGAAGGACGAGGGCCCTCTGCATCTCCCCCCACAAGCACACGCACAAGCACACGCACAGCAGCACGACAACATCAGGAGGGAGGAGGGAAGTGCCACTGCGCCGTGTGCCGACCCGCCATCTTCATCATCACCATCGTCCAACGTCAGCGACTGTCACTTGTTGATGGCCGGCCAGGGTCGGTGGGGCGACCGCTGCGAGCACGTCGTCTGTCCCTCCCCGCCATGCCGGCTCCCGTCAGCGTGCAACCCTCAGACAGGCGCATGCGAGCCCGGGGCATTCATGGACGAGGGGGCTCCATGCCCAGAAGGCGTGTGCTTCAACGGCGAATGTCAGGCGGCTGTGCGGATGCCCCTCTCTCTCGAGGAAGAGCAAGCGATGCAGCAGCAGCAGAGGCGGGTGGGAATGGACGGCTCTGAGGACCGCGGGAATGGCGGCAGGGGTGGGGCAGGGGGAGGAGGGAGTGTGGTGTTGGTGTGTGCGGTGGTGAGTTTCGGCATCCTGTCGTGTGGTGTTGGGGTGGCCGCCATTCACATTTGTCAGCGGAGGAAATGGGCCGCTTTCCACGTCGAGGCGCAGAGGCAAACGCACAGGGACTGCGCCGGCAACAGGGGGCCGAGAGCCAATGGGGGCGGCGTGCTGGTTGTGAGCGGCGGTGTGGTCAAGCTTCACGGCACGCGAGACGATGGCGGCTCCAGCGTTCAATCGAGCACGTCGTCGACCGTGGCGCCCTCCCCGTATTCAGCTGCCTCGTCCGATCCACTGAGCGATGCAGACTGGGCCAATGATCCGCTGGTCACCTTCTCGCCGTCAGTCGCGTCGGACTCCGAGGCATCCTCGCCCTCACCCACCCCGCACATGCCATGTGTGGCCTTCCCGGACCCCCTGCCCCCTCCCCCACTACCACCCCACACCGGCACGACGAGCAGCGGGCCCCGGCCGCCCTTCAGGCGGACGTCGAGTTTCTCTCCCCAGTTTTTCCCGTCACGCGCAGGTGAGGTTGACGACGAGAGGGGTGGGCGAGTCGGCCTGGCGGGGGTGACGTCCCTGCTCGGCCTGCAGGCAAAGGGCAGAAGGTACGTACGCGAGAGAGACCAATAAATGAAAACACTCTGACGGCCGGATGCACCTGTCTGTCGCCCTTGTGGTGTGCTCTCTGTCTGTTGTCTGCAGGGCCCCTTGTCGGAACATGACCCGTCCGCCGCCGTTATCGCCTCTGCCCAGCGCGCCCCCGCCCCCTCCTCACCCCCTGCACAGTGTATCATGCCGTCTCCCGCCCATACCCGAGGAGCCAGACGACGCCTCATCCGAACGCGGCGACGAGCACGACGGTGCGCCCATGACCATCTACCACTATGCGAGCATGCCATGCTTGAGGCGAGAGGCACATTCAAATGACCCTGAGCATGAGCACCACCAGTGCGATGATCACGACGGCACCAGCGTGACGCATGTGCGAAGGTGGGTGCTGGATGATGGTCGGGGCGAGAGGGAGAGGGAGAGGGATATCCGGTCTGTGGAGCTGCCGGCAAGGAGGCGGCGAGAGGGCAGCGATGGGGGGGACGACAGGGGGCCGGTCGATTTGGGCAGGATGGAGGGAGGGATTGACTGATTGACTGATTGAGCTGGCTGGCTGGATGGACCCGCCGAAAGAGGGAGGCATAACCATGGATATGGCGGGGCGGGCAGGCAGGGGCAACAAATGGGCTGACCCACTGACTTACTGGCTGGCTGGTTCGGCGATGCGATGCGTGGCAGGCAGGAATGGGATGGGGGCTGGATGTGTTGCGTCGTTTACACTCCCTGTCGCTCTCTCCGATCTGGGGGGCTTTGTTTCGGGCGTTCTCTCTTTGTCTCTGTCTCTTTGTCTCTACCACTCACTCTTGCTAAATTTTTGCTTTTTACTTGCTACGTTTTGCGTTGATCGATCCGAGCTCTTTTTCTGCCCGTCAGACAGACAGACAGACAGACAGACAGCGTAGAAGTCCTTTTCTTATGCACACGGATTTCTTCAGGAATATCGAGGCAGAGAACGCACATATGACTGCACAGATGCCCTCTTCCATCGATTGCCCTGCCTGGCCTCTCCTTCTCTGCTCGCAACTGAGCAGGGATCGACGGGTGGATGGATGGATGGAGGGAGGGAGGGAGGGGCAAAATGGTCACACGAATGGCTGGCTGTTGTGTTTGTCTGCACGTTCCTTCCCCACTCATTCACCCCGCTCGGCCACCCACTCCACTCCATACGAACCCCTCTCTCTCACTGCTTGCCGTTGCTGTTGCTGTGTGTGGTGGGGTGGGGTGGATTCAGTCGACTCACTTGTCTCTCTCTCGGTTGGTATTTCTGTACACATTCGATGTGATGCCCGCAGGATGGATGGATGGATGGATGGGCCTGCATGGCTGGCTGGCTGATAGGGTCGGTGCGCAAGTAGGTGGGTGTGGTGTGTGTGATGGATGGGTGTGGTGGGAAAGCTGCCAGATCGGATGGATGACAAGCAATGGATTGGATGTGTGTGTGCATGATCGATCGAGTGAGTGTGTAAGAGAGGGAACGTCCCAAAGGCACCCACCCGGCCATAGACGCATAAGCACATCAAGTCAAGTGCATGAGGTGCATGGTAAGTAACATGACATGAAGAGACTGACGTTAGTAACCAGCACGTGTGTTTGTCACATCCACCCATACCGACCTGCGTATGATAACACACGTCAATCAGTGCACAGAGAACGGAAAACAAGACGGCACAACGCAGGCCGGCCGGCCACGACAGACAGGTATTCACAGCTGAGTGAACTGACGCACTCGATGCACCCCATTGGTCATCCACTCCACCAGCTGCGTCAATCAAATCAATGCAGCAGAGACAGACCCCCCCCCCCCACCCACACACAC